TGAGGCATAGTGCTTCCGTCACCCCAAGTTTCATGGACAAAATTCTGGTTCTACGTCACAAACTGCTCTGAAATCCACCATCCATTTCTTCAATCCATGCTCTTCTTTATGGTTAAATACAAATGGCTTCCCTGCTGCTCTGCAAGCCAGTTCTTCCCTCTCAAATTTCTGCCACACACCACAGCTGTACCACATTAAACCAAATATTATTACATCATGGCCTCCTGTTTTAAATACTGCAACTACCTACAGAATAGAGTCCAAACTTCCCAAAGAGATCCTTGCTGTGACCTCATCCCTGTCTACTCCTCATCTCACTTCTCACCACTACATTTTCCCACACATTCCACTCACACGGACCGCTGAAGAGCTGCCCAGTAACTTCATTTACACATTACAGATACAGATCCCTGCTTACAAATTCCCAGCCCCTATTCCTTGTTTCTTCTTCTGGATTCTCATAACATTTACATCTGCCTGCCTGGTTTGCAGCTTTTTGTACAGCATACCAGGTCTTTCTTCTTCTTCTTTTAAAGCCTATAACATCCCGTACAAGGCTCAACCAGGAGCTTGATCAATGTTGGTACAATAGCCAGGTGTAGTGGCTCATGCTTATAATCCTAACCCTTCGGGAGGCTGAGGCAGGTGGATCCCTTGAGCTCAGGAGTTTGAAACCAGCCTAAGCAGCATAGCAAGACCGTCTCTACAAAAAAAAAAAAAAAAAAAAAAAAAAAAAAAGCCAAATTAGCTGACCATGGTGGTGCACACTTGTAGTCCCAGCTACTTGGGAGGCTGAGGTGGGATGATCACCAGAGGTAGGGAGGTTGAGGCTGCAGTGAGCCTTGATTGTGCCACTGTACTCCAGCCTGGGCAAGAGTGAGACCCTGCCTCAAAATAAAAAAAAGGGGGGGCTGGGCATGGTGACTCACACCTGTAATCCCAGCACTTTGGGAGGCCAAGGTGGGCAGATCACCAGGTCAGGAGTTCAAGACCAGCCTGACCAACATAGTAAAACCCTCTCGCCACTAAAAAATAAAAACAAAAAATGCCGGGCATGGTGGCTCACACCTGTAATCCCAGCACTTCAGGAGGCTGAAGCAGGCAGATCACTTGAAGTCAGTGAAAATAAAATAAATGGACAAAGAAAGAACCATGACAAAGAACCCAGTTGACTGTAGCAGTCAATTTCCTCTCAAAAACCTGTCAAAGTGTTTTACAGTTTTACATCCTGACCCAGTGTAGCCCACATCTGAGCCCAGAGGGAGTTGTTCTTGGCTTAAGTGTTGGCAAAATGGGAAACGGGTAAGAGTGAAGTCAGTTTTGCCTCAGCTTAGGAAGTCCATAGTTCTGCCTCTATCTTGATCCTGCTTTTCCAAGTACTGCAAAAAGTAACAAGTATTTCTGCCAATCTCTTTTTTCTTTTTCTTCTTCTTGTTTTTTTTTTTTTTTTGAGAGTCTCTCTGTTGCCTAGGCTGGAGTGCAGTGGTGTGATCTTAGCTCACTACAACCTCCGCCTCCCGGGTTCAAACAATTATCTTGCCTCAGACTCCTGAGTAGCTGGGATTATAGGCACACACCACCACTCCCGGCTGATTTTTGTATTTTTAGTAGAGACAGGGTTTTGCCACGTTGGTCAGGCTGGTCTCGAACTCCTGACCTTGTGATCCGCCCACCTTGGCCTCCCAAAGTGCTGGGATTACAGGGGTGAGCCACTGCACCCAGCCTAATTTTGTACTTTTTTTTTTGGAGATGGAGTTTCGCTCTTGTTACCCAGGCTGGAGTGCAATGGCGCAATCTCGGCTCACTGCAACCTCTGCCTCCTGGGTTCAAGAAATTCTCCTGCCTCAGCCTCCTGAGTAGCTGGGATTACAGGCACACGCCACCATGCCCAGCTAATTTTTTGTATTTTTAGTAGAGATGGGGTTTCACCATGTTGACCAGGATGGTCTCGATCTCTTGACCTCGTGATCCACCCACCTCAGCCTCCCAAAGTGCTGGGATTACAGGCTTGAGCCACCGCGCCCAGCCTAATTTTGTATTTTTTTAACAGAGACGGGGTTTCTCCATGTGGGTCAGGCTGGTCTTGAACTCACAACCTCAGGTGATCTGTCTGCCTCAGCCTCCCAAAGTGCTGGGATTACAGGCATGAGTCACCACACCTGGCCCCAATCTCTCGTTTCTCAGAAATTTTATCCATCCTTATTCTCCTTAGGGGAGAAGTAAAAATTGAATACTAGGCAAGGACCAAATTATTTTCATGGCACAAGGTCTCTCAATCCTGGCCTCAAAAAGTTATGTCTTCCATATAACGGCTAGTTTTCATCATCAATAAGAAACCACAGGTGGGGTGCAGTGGTTTACGCCTGTAATCCGAACACTTTGGGAGGCCAAGGTTGGAGGATTACTTGAGGTCAGGAGATCAAGACCAACCTGGGAAATATTGTGAGGCTCTGTCTACAGAAAATTTAAAAATTAACCGGGCATAGTGGCACACACCTGTAGTCCCATCTACTCAGGAGGCTGAGGCAGGAGAATCACTTGACTCCAGGAAGCTGAGGCAGCAGTGAGTCATGACCATACTATTGTACTCCAGCCTGGCCAAGAGAGTGAGACCTTCTTTCTCTCAAAAGAAAGAAACCCCGGCCGGGTGCGGTGGCTCATGCCTGTAATCCCAGCACTTTGGGAGGCCGAGGCGGACGGATCACGAGGTGAAGAGATCGAGCCCATCCTGGCCAACATGGTGAAACCCCGTCTCTACTAAAAAGTACAAAAATTAGCTGGGCATGGTGGCACGCGCCTGTAGTCCCAGCTACTCAGGAGGCTGAGGCAGGAGAATTGCTTGAACCCAGGAGGCAGAGATCGCAGTGAGCGGAGATTACGCCACTGCACTCAAGCCTGGCGCCTGGCAACAGAGCAAGACTCTGTCTCAAAAAATAAAATAAGAAACCCCAATTCAGTTTGGCAAATACAGGATTTTGCTCCAACTTCCCTTTCTCCTTTTATCTGAAAGCTCAAACTAAGCTATTGGATAAGACAAACACTAACCCCTGCGTAGTCTGGATTAGCACTTCCCACACCAAGGCCTTTTAGTAGACTTAACTGCCTCCCATGCAACATCCCGAAGCCTCCAACTCAAAGAAAAGAGATGTTGCAAAATGAAACAGAGATACAGTTTGAGTGACCACTTTTTAGAATGTCCCTGAACACTATAGCCACCACATACTTTCCAGTCTTTTCCAAAACAGCAGTTGTCTATAAGAGAACAGAAAAGGCAGGAGGCTTGAGGATCTGGGGACGGAAGGGGAAATGTAGATTCTGCAAGAACATCAGTCAGGAGTTGTTCCCAAGCTCTGCTTGCTCTGGTAATGTTTCTCTTTTCCTATTTGCTTTTGGAAATAAAGTCAGGTCTCCTGTCCTAAGGAAGCTACCTCAAAGACACAGACTTTTCTGCCCAGACATCAGCTAAAATCAAATTGCATATGCTACAACATGGATGAATCTTGAACATTATCCTAAGGAGCCAGACACAGAGGGCCACATAGTGCATTACTCCACTTATATGAAATGTATAGAATAGACAAATCTCTAAAGACAAGAAGTGAATTGTGAGGGGCTGGTGGGTAGTGAGAATGTGGACGGCTAATGGGTATAGGGTCTCTTTTAGGGCTAACAAAAATGTTCTCTGAGGCCAGATGCAGTGGCTTATGACTGTAATCCCAATACTTTGGAAGGCCAAGGTGGGAGGATCGCTTAAGGCCATGAGCTCAAGACCAGCCTGGGCAACACAGTGAGACCCCCATCAAAAAATCAAATTAGCCTGTAGTCCTGGCTACCCCAGAGGTTGAGGAGGAGGATCACTTGAGACCAGGAAGTTGAGGCTGCAGTGAGCAGTGATTGCACCACTGCACTCCAACCTGGGTAAGAGTGAGATCCTGTCTCAAAATAATAATTCTGGAATTAGATAGTGGTGATGGTTCTACAACTTTGTGAACACATTAAAAGCCACTGAATTATATACCTGAAAAGGACTAAGTTTATGGCATATAAGTTATATTTTAACTTTTTTAAACGGAAGGAAAAACCAAATTGCAGCCAATTCCTTGGTCTTGGAGAAGAGGCCCTTTCCCCCTAGAGCAGTGCTCCTCCAAGTATGATGCTGAGACTAACAGAATCAGTGTCACCATGTAATGACTAGAAATGCGTGTTCTCAGGCCCCAGTCCAGACCGGCAGAATTAGGAATCTGGTGATGAACCTGCAATCTGTACTTTAACAAGCCTGCAAACTGATTCTGATGCATGTTTGGCATTTTGTTTGTTTGAGACACAGTCTCGCTCTGTCGCCCAGGTTGGAGTGCAGTGGCGCAATCTCAGTTTACCACAACCTCCGCCTCCCAGGTTCAAGTGATTCTCCAGTCTCAGCCCCAAGTAACTGGGATTACAGGTGCCCACCACCACGCCTGGCTAATTTTTGTATCTTCAGTAGAGATGGGGTTTCACCATGCTGGCCAGGCTGGTGTTGAACTCCTGACCTCAGGTGATCTGCCTGCCTCAGCCTTCCAAAATGCTGGGATTACAGGCATGAGCTATCACACCCAGCCAATGTATCTTCTTAAGAACCACTGCTTCAGGGCAGGGGACTTTTTGTGTCAAGGATCGGACAGTAAATATTTTAGTCTTTGCATGCCATGTTGGTAGGGTCTCTGTCATTCCTATTACTCCTTTTTACAACTCTTTAAAAATGTAAAAACATTCTTAGCTCCCAGTTGCACAGGAGCTCCCAGGTAGCAGATGGATTTGGCCCTGTGAGTCATGGCTTGCCAACTCTTGCTCTAGGGCAACACAGCTCCCATTCTGGGAGATCTCTGGAGCTTCCCATGGAGACAGGTGGATTCGTCCCCTTTAATGAGGGAAATAAACAACAGCCTCCAGGGATCAGACAAGTTCCCCTGATAGAATAGTTGTGATACCCTCTGACATGCCCAGGCCAAAGTAAGACCAGATCCGGCTTTCCATTCAGGCTTTATTAACTTAGTTTACAGTTTGTGTGCGTGTGTGCCTGTGTGCTCTTTCAAGACATTTATTCAATTCATAGTGGTATCTTTTGGACAGAGTCAGCAATCCTACCAGACAAAACTTACACACACATTGATTCCAGATGAGCCATAACAATCCCCCAGGGAGCTTGAGAAACCACCTAGGGCAGCTAAGCTGGGGAGGGGAAGTGGCTGTGCTTTGCTGAATGTCCTTTAAAGCTCTTTGGTCCTGGTTAATTTCCTCTTAGAAGGGTCCAAATAAAACTTCCCTTTGCTATTCAGTATACACCAGTCTTTCTTTGGTGGTTAACCTAATGGGCGGAGGAAGGGAGGTAGCCAGGAAATTATACCCATTAAAGTGTGTGGTTACTGCCTGCATACATCATTTTTACTCACAGTTAATGGACTTATTTTTTAAAATAGAGATATATGGCCGTGGGGAAAAAGAACTTCCCTTATTACAGAGAAGACTCCAAGAATAGATTCGGACATGATTTGAAGAACCATGTAACTCTGCTGCCTTACATGGTCTCCTTTTCAGCACTAATAACTCCTGGGTGTCTGGTCATTTCAAGGTTAGCAGTTCTCCCAAAGAAGCTCCCTGTCGGGTGCGGTGGCTCATGCCTGTAATCCCAACACTTTGGGAGGCCAAGGCGGGCAGATCACATGAGGTCAGGAGTTCGAGACAAGCCTGGCCGATATGGTGAACCCCTGTCTCTACTAAAAATACAAAAATTAGCCGGGTGTGGTGGTGGGCACCTGTAGTCCCAGCTATTTGGGAGGCTGAGGCAGGAGAACTGCTTGAACCCAGGAGGCAGAGATTGCAGTGAGCCAAGATCGAGCCACCGCATTCCAGCCTGGGCAACAAAGAGAGACTCCGGCTAAAAAAAAAAAAAACACAACTATCCGACAAGGAGGCAATGAGGAGGGTGGAGATGAGCCCCAAGGGGACAGAGTCCTTCCCCCCTTCTTTTTCCTATATTTGGCTAAAATTGCCTGGGTAAAATGTTCCATTGCTCGGGAGAGGAGGAGGAAGTGAAGAAGAAAGAGGTGTAGAAACTTCCTTTTGAACCAAGGGCTTTTCCCTAGTCCTGGCTGGAACCAGAATCCTAAAAGTTTCCTACCTTTTACTTGCGGTCTCCTCCCTGAAAGGGCCTCAGCTTCTGGTCTCCAGGGGACAAGGGCTAAGGAGGAAGCAGCTTCAAGACGTTGGCCTTTGCTTCCCTTTTTCACTTTTCACCCCTGGAGTCCAATCAACCAGGTGCCAGGGTGTAAGCATGAGGCATTCATTGTCGTACCCCCCAATCTACCCTGGCCTTCAGGCTTTGCTGGCAAAGAGGAAGGAGGGCACAAGTGTGCACATAGCTAAGGAGGAGCTGGTGAATATGGGAACAGACTGGTCCTTGCTGATGTGGGGCATTTAGAGACCCTTATTGAAGTAGACATAAGGCACAAGTTCTCTATACTTGGCCTTGATGGTGTCTTGGAGCTCTGGTTCCAGATAGGAAACCGGCAATTCACTGAAAAGAGAACAGAAGGGAATTATGAGCATGCCACCTGGGACAAACTGTAAGCTACCCTCAGATGAAGCCCGACTCAAATATCACCTCCAAGAAGCCCTCCTGATGTTTCTAGCTAGGATTATTATTGGCATCCGTATACCACAATATGCTGCTTTACCGTTACTCAGGCCTGACTTCATTCTCCTTGGGCTAAGGTTCTTCCTTTAAAATTCCATCTTCTCCACAAGACTACAGACACAGTGCTTGGGACACAAGAGATGTCTAGCAGACGACCACAGAACTAGTATTGAACTAGAGTCCTGAGGAAGGGAAGACTGGCATCGCCCGGGTATATATTCAAGCTACACTTGTCTCCTGGGGCCAGTCACCCCCAAATTCCCAGTCTGATGCATCCCTTCCCTTTTCCATCATCCTTTTTCCCTGCTTCTCCTTCTCAGTAACACAAGGGAAATAAAGGGGCTTGGGTCATCAGCCTTCTGCCCATCCCCTTATTTATTTTTTAAGATGGAGTTACACTCTTGTGGCCCAGGCTGCAGTGCAATGGCATGATCTCAGCTCACCGAAACCTCAGCCTCCCAGGTTCAAGAGATTCTCCTGCCTCAGTCTCCTGAGTAGCTGGGATTAGAGGTATGCACCACCATGCCCGGCTAATTTTATATCTTCAGTAGAGACAGGTTTTCTCCATGTTGGTCAGGCGGGTCTCACACTCCTGACCTCAGGTGATCCACCCGCCTCGGCCTCCCAAAATGTTGGGATTACAGGCATGAGCCACCGTGCCCAGACCCCTTATTAATGTTAAAGACCAGCCAGCTGTGGTAGCTCACTCACCACTGCACTCCAGCCTGCGTGACAAGAGTGAAACTCCATCTCAAAAAAAAAAAAAAAAAAAAAAAAATTAAAAACCAGATCCAGCTGGAAGACAGCTTCCTAATAACCCAGCCAGCAGGGAGAGAAAGTCTCTGGTTGCTCCCCTACCTTCTCTCCAAGGCAGCCCTTGCTCCACTGGGAGGGAGCAACCTTATTCCTGCCCCTCACAGATCTGTTGTGCCAAAGTTCACCAGGGTTAAGAGGCCCAGTCTTTAAGCTGATAGATACTTGTCCTTGGACAGGTGCTGCCCTTCCTGCCCCTTCCCTGTCTCCTTCTGGACAGCAGGCAGGTCAGGGACAGCACTGGCAGGGTGGTCAATGAAACCAAGTGAGGAATGAACAGCAGATACCATATCTGTGGGAAGAGCCCACACGCCACTGGCACCATGAAGATGAGGCTGCAAGAAAGGAGAAACCAAAGCATTAGGGGACATCTCCCCACAGGCCCGCCCATCCTCCATCCCCTGGGGAAGAGAGCAATGCCCAGCACCTGGCCTGCCTTCCCAGCTGGCCCTATATCCTCTCCCATCTCGAGGATACTCATTCTGACAGGGGAATAAAACCAGTGCCCTCCCCACCCTCATCACTCATTCCCACCCCTACTCTATTGTTCAAGCAGAGGAAGAAGACAATGAAGTAACCAGGACTGTGAGCAGCAGGCCTGAGGAGACAAGCACTCCTGCCATGGAGGGGAGAGGCACCACGAGGAGGGAGAGGGACATGAAGTGGGGAGGAGCAACGAGGAGGGAGAGGAAGGACATGGAGGGGAAGGAGCGATGAGGAGGGAGAGGAGGGACATGGAGGGGGAGGAGTGATGAGGAGGGAGAGGAAGGACAAGGAGGGGGAGGAGTGATGAGGAAGAGGAGAGATATGGAGGGGGAGGAGTGATGAGGAAGAGGAGAGATATGGAGGGGGAGGAGTGATAAGGAGGGAAAGGAAGGACATGGGGGAAGGGGGGACATGGAGGGGGAGAAGCAACAAGGAGGAAGGGGAGCAACTTGGAGGAGGAGGAACAGCATGGAGGGGGAAGAGCAACTTGGAGGGGGAGGGATGACTGGGAAGGGGAGGAGCGACTTGGAGTGGGAGGAGATACTTGGAGGAAAGAAACTACTTGGAGTAAGAGGAATGACTTGGACAGGGAGGAGCAACATGGAGAGGGGAGGAGTGATGAGGAGGAAAAGGAGCCACTTGGAGGAAGAGGAACAGCATGGAAAGGGAGGAGGGACATGGAGGGGGAGGAGTGACTAGGGTGGGGAGAGGCATCATGGAGGGAGAGGTGTGAGTCTATGGATTCTGAGACCTGCTTCTTTATTGGTTGAACACCTAGGCTGTCAGAGCAGTGAAAGGCAATTTCTCCAGCTTCACTGTGCATATAACTTCAGGACCTTGTTAAAATGCAGGTGCCAACTGAGGGGGTCAAGGAAGGGCTTCAGAGTCTTTGTTTCTAACAAGTTATCAGATGATGCCAATGATGCTGGCTAGGACCAGGGTTTGGAGGCAAGGCCTTATAGGACGTGGACTCTGACAGACCTGGGTTGGTATCCCAGTTTTACCACTTACTAGCTGTGCCATCTTGGGCAAGTTACCTCAGAGACACAGTGGGAGGGCAACCTACTTTTTAGGGCTACTGGAACCCACTTTGCAGTGCCTACTTTGCAGGGCTACTGTGAGGATTCAGTGAGATATGTGCGTAAAAGCACCCAGCCCATGGCAACTACTCAATTAGCAAAAGTTGGTATAGCATAATGTAAGACTCTTGATCAAATCTCAGCACCAGCAGTTACCAGATATATACCTTTGGGCAAATTTCTTACTCTGTCTAAGCCTCAGTTTCTTTTTCTTTCTTTCTTTCTTTTTTTTTTTTTGAGATGGAGTCTTGCTCTCATTGCCCAGGCTGGAGTGCAATGGCACGGTATCAGCTCACTGCAACCTCTGCCTCCTGGGTTCAAGCGATTATCCTGCCTCAGCTTCCCAAGTAGTTGGGATTATAGGTGCATGTCACCATGCCTGGCTAATTTTTGTATTTTTAGTAGAGATGGGGTTTCGCCATGTTGGTCAGGCTGGTCTTGAACTCCTGACTATGTGATCGTCAGCCTCGGTCTCCCAAAGTCCTAAGATTATAGGCATGAGCCACCACACCTGGCCAGCCTCAGTTTCTTCATTTGTAAAAGGAGATGATAATAGTAGCTAGGCCGGGAGAATTAAGTGAAATTATAGATGTGAAACTTTAGTTCAGTGGGGACACAGAGAAAATATATGGTCCATGTTAGCTGTTAGTGTTACTGTCATCAGTCCTGTGGCCCTGAAAAGCATGGTGAATGCCAGGACATCTCCAGTTAATGGCAGACACCTAAGAACACTGTGAGACTGGTGCCATTTCCCTTCTGTGTGAGGCTAGGACACATGACAGTCCCAGCCAAAGCTATGTCTCCTCATTCTTATCTCTTCTGTAAAACTGCTCCAGATGTGGTGGCTCACGCCTGTAATCCCAGCACTTTGGGAGGCCGAGGTGGGCAGATCATGAGATTGAGAGATCGAGACCAGTTTGGTCAACATGGTTAAACTCCGTCTCTACTAAAAATACAAAAATTATTTGTGGTGGTGTGCACCTGTAGTCCTAGCTACTCAGGAGTCTGAGGCAGAATCACTTGAACCTGGGAGGTGGAGGTTGCAGTGAGCCGATCACACCACTGCACTCCAGCCTGAGCAACAGAGCGAGACTATATCTCAAAAAAAAGAAAAAGGCCAAGCATGGTGGCTCACACCTGTAATCCCAGCACTTTGGGAGGCTGAGGCTGGTGGATCACCTGAGCTCAGGAGTTCAAGACCAGCCTGACCAACATGGTGAAGCCTCATCTCCACTAAAAATACAAAAATTAGCCAGGCATGGTGGCACACACCTGTAGTCCCAGCTACTTGGGAGGCTGAGGCAGGAGAATTGCATGTACCCAGGCTGAAGTTGCAGTGAGCCGAGATTGCACTACTATACTCCAGCCTGGGCAACAGAGCGAGACTCCATCTCAAACAAAACAAAACTGCTCCAGTTTTGTTTTGACTTAAGATCAAAGGAGAGACCCTGGGATGGGAGGGCACCTCAGCACTGGACTTTCCACATGGACATGTACATAGAGTCTAGCCAGCCTGATGCCCTCATGAAAGCGGCGGCGAGAACTTTCAGATGGACCACAGGTATTCTGAGCTTGACCACTTTTAAAGTCAGGTAAAGGAGTACACGTTCTCCAACATGGGCCAGCCAGGAAGATACATCTTGAGTGCTCCAGCCACACAGAACCCAAACTATCAAAACATGATACTTACAAGCACCCACACAGCATGACCTGTAACGGGGCGTGCAGGACCTTGACCTTCTGTATAAAAACAAATAAAAGACATCCACATGGGACTTCTATACCTTCAGGTAAACCCCGTGCCTGCTCTGCCACAAATCAGCCAGCTAGAAAAACCCATCCACAAGGACCTCCTGGCCCTCAGAGAAGGCTTGTTCTTTGCAGACCAGGTCAGGAAACTGGCCATAATGTCTAAACAGGAGGCCAGTGGGGACTGGCGTGGGCTTGAGTGAGATGACAGCATGGTAACTAAAGGAAAGGATGGGTCGGGGGGGTCAGGCGTTCCCAGGGACAGATGTGGCTGGAGGCACTCTGGGCAGGGAAAATGCCAAGGCAAACCCTACATACCTGCATGAAGTGCAATTTCTCAAGCCTTTCCATGATAACTGGCAGCAAGACTGGAAGAGATAGGGGAAAAGCTGAGGGGAGGGCTGGGAGGCTCTCCCCAGGACTCCTTCTGAAGTCAGATCAGGAACCAAGTGATTCCCTCTCCTTCCACAGAAGCTCCAGAAAATATTTAGCATTAGGCAGAACAGAAGGCTAAGTGGGCATGGCCACCCCCAACCTCTCTCCCCAAAGTCCCAGCAGAACACTGCTTCCCAAGCTTCTCAACCTGCACACTTGCAGTAACAGGAGAACATGTGCCACTAAGTCCAAAGCTGCCTTCTCAAAACTCAAAAATGTATTTGTACATTCACGTGAACAAATTTTACAATACGCTCCCTACTGGAAGCAAACCAAGGCAGGGAATTTATTTTCTCTACCACTCTTCAAGCACCCTGCACTGTGTCTATACATTAAGCACAAGTGTTTGACAAGAATTAGCAAAATGAAAATAACTTTCTACCCCATACCTTCAACGAACTGATGTTCTGGGAACTAGTGTGGTTCTTCTAGGCTTGCAGCAATCAAGCAAAGCAGTTTGAGAAGCATGGCTGTAGAGGGTGGGCCCCACCTCCCATCTAAAAGTTGAGTGTGGCTGAGATCTCCACCCTGTTGCAGAGTTCCCCAGGATGGAAGGGCTTCCCATCTTACTCATGCCAGGAGCTGCCATGGTGATCCGAGAAATAACTACTTGGGTGATGCCTATGGCTGCAGCTCTCTGAGGGCAGAAAAGAATAAGTTGTCAGGAATGATGTATCTAGGGTACATGGGCTGCACCAGGGTGCCGGGTCAGAGTCACGGCCAAGTCTGAGATGGCAAAGGGGAAGGGATGGAACCTCCAGGGGCTGAGTGCCCTCACTTAATCCCCTCCCACCTAGCCATATTTTATGGACCAGAAATGATGGAGAAAGGACAGAAGGGGCCTGTTCTGAACAGAGAAACATGGGAACATGTGATAGGAAGTGATGATGGAGTCAGAGGGCTTATAAATCCTATAATAGTACCCACTCTGACCACTAAGGAGGGGACAGGGTCTGAGAGGGAATTCCTTCCTCCCACCCCAAAGGGAGGCCTCTGCTTACCCGGGAATGACCAATCTCATTTTGATTCCTGTCCTTCACGCAGATTCCCTGGATGAGCTCCCTAAACACAGAGAGGAGTTACTGGACTTGGGAAAGGGGTGATGGAAGCCTGCCAGCCCCATGCCAGGGGACCAAGGCCAGGCCACTTAAGTTCCAGGAAGCCACCTCCTGTAGCCTGGGCCTTTGACCTTCCTTCTGCTCTCCAATGAGCAGTATCTTAGGAGTGATCTATGGCAGTGGCTAAGAGCGCTGGCCCTGGGCCCGGACTGTCTGGGTTGAGCCTGGAAACTGCAGGGGAAGTGTGTGACCTTAAGCACAGTCTTTAACCCTCCCAAAACCTCAGATGTGCTTATCTGCAAAATAAAGACCATCCTGGCACCCACTTTACACAACCTGGTCAGCATTAAATGAGATCATGGCTGTGAAGAGCTTGGTCCAGCACATGACACAGAGTGGTCACTCCACAAGCAGTAACTATCCTAGCTATTCTTTTGTTTTTTTGAGACAGAGTCTCACTCTGTCACACAGGCTGGAGTTTAGTGGCATGATCTTAGCTCACTGTAACCTCCAACTCCTGGGTTCATGTGATTCTCCTGCCTCAGCCTCTTCAGTAGCTAGGATTACAGGTGTGTGACATCATGCCTGACTACAGGTTGAGACATCATGTCTCAAACTCCTGGCCTCAAGTGATCCTCCCGCCTTGGCCTCCCAAAGTGCTGAGATTACAGGCATCAGCCAGCGCGCCCAGCACACCCCAGCTATTCTTCTCAGGCCAGTTCTTGACAGCACTCAACCCAAGCTCCAGTAGGTGTCTGGGACTCATTCTGTGAGGAAAGGGCCACTGGATGGGGAAGGGAAGATAAGCAGAGCAGTATCTGTGCATGACTATTCTGGTAGTGCTCCTTGTACAAAGGCTAGTGTGAACACTTTCCATTTGCTGGTATTCCCAAGAAAATGTGGCTTGTAGATATTGATGATGGTGACAATGGTAGAAACAACAGTGAACATTTATGTAGCATCCATTATGTTCCAGGTGCTGTGTTGAGTGTCTTACATATATTACATCATTAAAACCTCATAACAAAAATTTCTCTAGTCAAGAAATAAGAACTGAGAGACACAGTGAGTTTCTTCTTTACCTTTTCTGCTGACAAGCTTACAGCTGGATGCCTGGAAAACTTCTGTCTACTCCTCTGGTTTCTTTCAAAGCGCTTGAGTTCTGTGCTATCTTTAGCACCTCAGCCTGCTACATTTCATTCTATATAGTATCCCCAGGACTTGGGAAGTAGGAGTTCACAATTGTAACACAGGTCCAAAAGGACAGGATCCAGTGTAAAATTCCACAGGTCCACCTGGTCTTTCCCATCCCATATCGCCCAGAAGAGGACTCCCACGGAACTCAACACACAGCCTAACCCAAAGTCACCTACCTCCCCTGGGGCCATCACCACGGAAGCAGCCAATCTCAGTGCTCTTCAGAGGCTCAGCCCAGCAGCCCTCCCCATGCCCACTGCAATCCCCAGAAGCCACCCACTGCCTTGGTTTCTTGCCCGTTTTCTGCAAATCTTGTGGTTTGTAGGGAGAAAAAAGGGCCTGTACTCACTGCTGTCGCATCATGGGGATATTGACACAGTTAGCAGCAGCCACCGCAGCAAAGGGTACCCAGCGGCCCACCAAGGGTGGCGCTCTCTGTTGGGGGAAGGGAACAGTAGTTGTTCAGATGCACTGGAAGATGGGAGGGGAGGGGGCTGAAGGACTACAATACAAAAAGGAAAATTAGACCTTGCTACTGTCACACATCCAGATACCCAGTCTGGGAACCACACATGCCCTCAAAGGCCCAAGAGGAACCAACCTGGGGACAGCCCAGGTGTATTTCTCATCACTTGGCGGGCAGGGCTCTAGCCGTCCCCAATTCACCCAGCCCCAATTCACCCAGCCTGGGGAACAGTCCCCGGGGAAAGGATGTTTTCTCTAGAACTCTGCTGCCCCCTCGTGGTCACTATGCTGCAGCAGCCCCAGACCGTACCTTTGTCAACATGTTCATGCCCACAGCCGTGGCCACAGCAGTGGTTGTGGCTGTGAAGTAAGAAAGGGCCATCTGCCTGGGGGAGGAGAGAGATGCTTGGGAGTGGGGAGCCCTGCCAGCTGAGGGCCAGACCACGGGCTTAAAGGAGAAAGTCGGCTGGCTTCATGCCTGAAAACCACACAGGAGGTCCCCAGCTTTATCTTGTGACCCTCTTCATGTCGCTCACAGTGCCCCAGCCCCCTTAGCCTTCTTTCAGTACTTCCTGCCTCGGAGCCTCGCACACCGCTGCTCCCTATGTCGGGAGGTGTTCCCTGGGCTCATAGGTGGTTCAACCCTCATCCTTCGGGACACAGCTGAAACGTCATCTCCACAGAAAGGACTGCTCTAAGTGGCCTAACTACACAGACCTCTGCTATTCCCGCCTTGCAACTCTGGTTTTCTGGGTGTTTTTGTTTGTTTGGTTGGTGTTTTTTGAGACTGATCTTAGGCAATCAGCCTGCCTTGGCCTCCCAAGGTGCTAGGGTTACAGGCATGAGCCACTGTGCCCCAGCCCAACCACACGTCTTAACAATGTATCCCAGCACCTAGAACCATGCCCATCCCCAGCACATAACACACACTCAAGAAATATTTGTAGAATGAATGAATGAACAAATTTGGAATTGGTCTAAGAAGAAGATCCACTCGTACTTGGCCCGAGAAAATACTTCAAAACCCTGGGAAGGGGTGACTTGGTTACCTGCTCAGTGCAGGTGCTACCCAGGAAGGACTGACAGCCCAGAACCCTTTAGAAAGGCTGTTCGTGGGGAGGCATGAGGACAGCCTGGGGCTCAAGTCTCCTACCTGACTGATGTGGGGGAAGCCGCATTCCTGTTGGTATAGTTGACTAAGGCATTGAAGGACTGGTTCACCCACTGCCAGAAGATCACCGCCGGCATCGTCCTACCAGTGAGGGAGGCCAGGAGAGGCAGAGAAAAGTCACATGGCAGGGAGTCCTAAGGGTATGCCAGTCAAAGCACATGATCTGCAGGTCCCCACACATTCCCATACTGTTTTTTTTTTCTTTTCAGACAGAGTCTCGCTCTGCCACACAGGCTGGAGTGCAGTGGTGCGATCTAGGCTCACTGCAACCTCTGCCTCCTGGGTTTAAGCTATTCTCCTGTCTCAGCCTCCCAAGTAGCTAGGACCACAGGCATGTACCACCATGCCTGGCTAATTTTTTTTATTTTTAGTAGAGATGGGGTGTCACCATATTAGTCAGGCTGGTCTTGAACTCCTGACCTCAGGTGATCCACCTGTCTTGACCTCCCAAAGTGCTGGGATTACAAGCATGAGCCACCATGCTCAGCCTGTTCCATACTGTTTTATGCACCTGGGCTTTTGTGCAGGCTGGGCCCTCTGCCTGAAATATCTCCTCCTCCTCCTTCCATAAATGGCTGAATCCTGCTCAGTTGAGAGATCACTTCCTCCTTGGAACTGTGCTGACCCTTCCCCTGCCCCTCCTGAGATAGAGTAAGTCACTCCATGCTCCCTGCTCCCACAATCCCATGTTCTTCCCCCAACCTATCACTTACCAAGCTGTACTGTAACTGTTTACTTCTTGGTCTCCTCAACAAAACTGGGAGCTCCTTGACTGGGGTGGGGGGTACTAAAGTCTTTATATTCCCAACACCCAGCTGAAAGCCCAGCTCAATCGCTGAACCAATCAATGAATGAGTTCGGAAACACAGGGGAGGAAGGAAGAGGTGGGAAGAAGAGTCACACATCCAGCAGCTACAGAGCCAGTTTCTTCTCTCCCCAACCAAGCCAAGAAAGGGGCTTCCTATTGTTTTGTTTAGGTGTTACATAATTAAAATCATTGTGGAATAAGTACTTTGTAAAGAGGGGATTGGGGTAGCTTGTTTCTTGAGGGTTCTACAGTGGACTGCCTCAGTTAAAATCCAGGCATCCATATTTCCTGCCTGTTTAGACTTGGACAAGTTCCTCAGTCTCTCTAGAACTCTAGTTCTTCATCTATAAAATGGAAATGATAATAGTACCTATAGGGTAGGGATGCTGAGAGGGTTAAATGAAGCAATACATGCAAAGAACGTAGTGCCTGATTATCTGGTAAGTGACCAAGCAAGAGGACTATTATTGCTATCATAGTCTGGCTCCCTGGCTAGCAGATCCAGGCAGCTGTACCTCCCACGGCCCTGCCCCCAGGTCCTACCTGTAGAACTGGAGCATAAAGCCAGTGATGATCATGCCACCAGGGAGCTGGAAGGACATGCGCCCAATGATGTTCATCTTCTCCCCAGTGTCAGGGTGGAAGGCCGAGTCATAAAGCTTCTTGGCGTACAGCAGCTGCTCCACTTGGGTGCCCGGGGGCACAACCCCCATCCTGCCACCCAAGGACAGCAGGGAGTCACCATCCTGCCTGATCAACATCTCCCAGTCTCCCTGCTCTTGTTTCTCCCAGCCCCCAGCCCCAAGATTTATGCCTATTTCTTCACCTTCAGTTTCCACCCCCTCCCAAGAGAACCCCATCAATGTCACTCTACTGCCTCTAGCCCCTTCCCCTGACCACTCACCTGGTCTTCTCCACCATCACCTTGGCCCAATCCAGCTCCCGCTCAGACACGAAGACAGTGCGGGGGTCCGTGATGTTCAGGAAGTGCTTCACTCTCCCCAGGAAGGTGCGCTGGTCCCAGCGGGGGACATCAATATTAAAGCCAGACAGGTCAGCCTCCATCTTGCTTACACATAAACTGTGTACTTAAGGGACAAAGGAAGAAGAGGACTGTCTCCTAAATCAAAGCCCACCGCAGAGGACCTGAGCACCTCCCACTGTTGCAGACTGCTTGCTCTCCTTAGCTCCTGAGCATTATCTGACTCCACCTAGGAGGGCCCCAGTGGATGGTCACCAGATTGAGCAACTGGACACCAACATGCTGAGGGCCTGCGGTGGCCAGCTCTGTGCTTGACCATACTGCAGGAGGGACTGGAAAAGTGACAGTACAGTGCCCACCCATTAAGTAGTATATAATATTCCCAGGTACTTCTGGCAGGGAAATGGGAAAGTAGCCATTTTGAAAAACACCGGGGTGTGGGCACTGATTCATGCCCAGAATCCTAGCACTTTGGGAGGCCAAGGCAGGCAGATCACGAGGTCAGGAGTTCGAGACCAGCCTGGCCAACAACATGGTGAAACCCTGTCTCTACTAAATATACAAAAATTATCTGAGCCCGGTAGAGAGATCTTGTAATCCCAGCTACTTGGGAGGCTGAGGCAGGAGAACTGCTTGAACCTGGGAGGTGGACATTGCAGTGAGCCGAGATCGCACCACTGCACTGCAGCCTGGGTGACAGAATAAGACTCCGTGTCGGGAAAAAAAAAAAGAAAAACCACCAAAACCCTTTGTTCTTCTTTTTTAAAATTTTATTTTAAAAGAAAAGAAAAAAAAAGAAGTTTTATTTTACCTTTTCTGAGACATGGTCTTATTCTGGAGTGCAGTGGTGTGATCATGGCTCAATGCACCTATGACCTCCCGGGTTCATGGATCCTCCCTGCCTCAGCCTCCTGAGTAACAGGAACTACAGGCACACACCACCACGCCTGGCTAAATTTTGTATTTTTCTGTAGAGACGGCACCTCGCTATGTTGCCCAGGCTGGTTTCAAACTCTTGGGTTCAAGCACTCTTTCTGCCTCAGTTTCCCAAAGTGCTGGGATTACAGGTGTGAGCTGGTGCATTCGGCCTATTTTAAGATTTAGAGACAGAGTCACATTATGTTACCCAGGCTGGAGTGCAATGGCAATTGACAGGCATAATTATAGCTCACTACAGCCTCGAACTCCTGGGATCAAGCAGTCCTCCAACCTCAGCCTTGCAAGTAGCTGGGAATACAGGCATGGGCTATCATGCCCAGCCCCTTTCTTCTCCTTAACAAGGTTTACCCTTAAGGGAAACTATTTTGCCAAAGCCAAACCACCTTGGGTTTTACCAGAACTTAACTGACTTGTGGGAAGGAAACTCCAGCCACCTCTTGCCTTCCTGCCTCACCTCAAGAGGACAAGGGGAGACTGAGAAGCTCTTGTGAAGGTTCAGGGCCACAGGGTCACCAAGAGACTGAGACCTCATCACAGAACTATAGATCCCTCCATTCCCTCACCTCACCACTGCACCAGCAGGGCGCCTGTATCACTACAAGGATTGTAACAAAAAAAGGAACAAGTCTTAGACCCTATTTAAAAAGTCTCTAGAGACCTATAGACAGCAGGGGAGACAAGAACAAAGAGACCAGAGGAAAATTTAGCCTTTTATACCTATAGACACAGCAAACAGTAAACACAACCTAACTGCTGGCCAGATAAACAAAATCTCACCCCTCAGTTCCTCTCAATGGGTGTATCATGTCCAGCTTTCAGTGAAAAATTACAAGGCATACTAAAAAGAAAAAAGAAAAAACACAGTTTGAAGCATCAGAACCAAGATTTAGATATGAGATTTTGGACTTATCAGACCAGGAATTTAAAATAATTATGGTTAAAATAAATAAATTTTTAAAACTATGGTTAATATGCTAAGGACTCTGAAGGGAAAGTGGACAACATACAAGAACAGACGGATAAGGTAAGCAGTGATGAAAACTCTTAAGAATCAAAAGGAGATACTGGAAATCAAAAATGTTGTAACGAAGATGAAGAAAGCCTTGGATAGACTCATCAATAGACTGGAAATGGCCAGGGAAAGCATTAGTGAGCTTGAACATGTGTCAGCGAAACTGTCCAAATGCTAAAGGCCCATCCATGGCAGATTAGATAAAGAAAATGTGGTTCATGTACACCGTGGAATACTATGCAGCCATGAGAAAGAACGAGATCACATCCTTTGCAGGGACATGGATGAAGCTGGAGGCCATTATCCTTAGAAAACTAGTCCAGGAACAGAAAACCAAATATCACATGTTCTCACCTATAAGTGGGAGCTAAATGATGAGAACACATGGACACAAAGAGGGGAGCAACAGACACTAGGGCTCACTTGAGGGTTGAGGGTGGGAGGAGGGAGAGGATCAGAAAAAATAACTAATGGGTACTAAACTTAGTGCCTGGGTGATGAAATAATCTGTATACAAGTTTACCTATGTAACAAATTTGCACATACACCCCTGAACCTAAAGTTAAAGAAACAGATAATATTAATGCAATTATTCTAATAGCTCCTCCACCCACAAATTCTGTCTCTCATTGAGAAACACTGAGTTCACGGTGGTAGGGATGGTGTGGGAATGTTGACTGGTCTTCCTGGATCATTAGAATTACTATTTGGGGATGCATACCATCTTATTCTGTCAGTCTTTACCCATTTCCACCTATCCCATATCTTATAGAAGAACCATCTCAAGTACTAGCTGCTTTATATCCCTTAAAACATTTCTAGTTGGCTGGCATGGTGGCTTACATCTGTAATCTCAGCACTTTGGGAGGCTGAAGCAGGTAGACCACCTGAGGTCAACAGTTCAAGACCAGCCTGGCCAACACGGTGAAAACCCGTTTTATATTTTTTTTCTACCAAAAAACAGAAAAATTAGCTGGGCGAGGTGGTGTACACCTGTAGTCCCAGCTACTGGGGAGGCTGATGTGCGTGGAATGCTTGAGCCCAGGAGGCAGAGGTTTCAGTGAGCCGAGATTGAGTGACTGCACTCTAGCCTGCGTAACAGAGTAAGACCCTGTCTACAAAAAAAAAAAAAAAAATTAAAGAAATAAATAAATAAACTTTCTTGGACAAACAAAACTGAGGACATTTGTCACTGGCACACCTGACTTACAAGAAAAAATAACTAATGGGTACTAAACTTAGTACTTGGGTGATGAAATAACCCGGCGAGGTGCAATGGTTCACACCTATAATCCCAGCATTTTGGCAGGCCAAGGCAGGAGGATCGCTTGAGCCTAGGAGTTTGAGACCAGTCTGGGCAACAGAGTGAAACCCTGTCTCTAAACAAATTACAAAAGAAAAAAAGATAGCCAGGCATGGTGGCATGTGCTTGTGTTCCCAGCTACTTGGGAGGCTGAGGTGGGGGTATTGCTTGAGTCTGGGAATCTAAGACTAAGCCTGCAGTGAGCTATGATTGTGCCACTGCACTCTAGTCTGGACGACAGAGTGAGACCCTGTCTCCGAAAAAAACAACAACAAACAAACATAAATAAATAAAAATCTTTGTCTTATTCTGAATTGTTAACAGTTAACAAACAGGTACACTTGTTGCAATTAATGATAGCAACAATGTATTTGGTGATTATAGTTTATGGATCAGAGAAATAACATGACACAGTAATATCAAGGACGGAAGGGGAGAATTGGGAGGACTACATTCTAAGGTACTTGCAGGCTCCATGCAGTGGTATAGTGTTATTTGAAAGTGAATTTGGATTAGTCATAAATGTATATTGCAAACTCCAGGGTAACCACCAAAAAGGTTTTCAAAAGAAGTGTAATTGATATGCTAGGAGAGGAGAGAAAATGGAGTCATACAAGAAAAGCTCAGGCTTTTACATTTTTGCCTTAAAACTTCAGGAAATCATTGAAAGATTTTAAGAAGAACAGTGACAAGATCAAATATGTAGTTTACCAAGAACAAACTGGGTAGTAATGAGAATAAACAGGGTGTGGTCGCACCTCACAGGATGCAGGGAGACCAGGTGAAAGGGGACCCCAGTAATCCAGGCAAGAAGACGTGGGGCTTAGATGAACCCAGGAGCACTCAGAGGAGAGATCAAAAGGGGACATAAATTTTTTTCTTTTTTCTTTATTTTTTACCCCCCAACTTCCCAAATTTTTTTCTTTTTGTAGGCAGGGTCTCACCCTGTTGCCCAGGGTGGAATGGAGTGGAGTGGGGCAATCATAGTTCACTGTAATCTCACACTCCTGGACTCCAGGAATCCTCCCATCTCAGCCTCCCTAAGTGCTGGGATTAGAACCACCACTCCTGGCCTAAATATATGTAATACATAATATAACATTGATAAAATATAGACATTGATTTATCACAAGGAATTAGCTTATTGGCTCACACAACTGTGGCTGTTGGCTAGGCAATCCTGAAGTCAGCAGGGCAGACAGCCAGCAAAAACCATCCCAGGGGAGAGGGAGCAACTCGGGTAAGGGTTCAGAGTCCGGAACCTCAGAGGGGGTTCACAGGTGGCCGAGCCCTCCTTTAAAGGCCTTCCACATGATTAGGCCTTTAAAGGAGGGCCTAATCATATCCAAGCCACCCAGGATACTCTCCCTTTTGAGTAACTTAAAGCCAAACAATTGAGGAATTTAATGACGTCTGCAAAATCCCCTCACAGCAGCACCTAAATTACTGTTTTGTCTGAAGAGCTAGAAGATGGTGTGTGTGTGCTCCCGGTAGCCATTATAACTGGAGCTATACTAGAGAGGGAATCCCAGGAGTCTCGTTTAGCGTAGCCATGTTGACACATGACAAATATTCAGAGTGATACCAGGGTTTTTGAGTTGGGTGATAGGTGCTAACAGGGAGAGCACAGAATATTTGGCTTTGAGGGAGAAAACATAAATAGCAAGCTTGATTTCTGCATGTTGAGTTTCAAGTGCCATGGGATTTTTTTTTTTTTTGAGATAGGGTCTTGCTCTGTTGCCCAGGCTGGAGTGCAATGGTATGATCATGGCTCACTATTCCAGCCTCCGCCTCCCAGGCTCAAACAATCCTCTGACCTCAGCCTCCCAAGTAGCTGGGACCACAGGCCTGTGCCACCCTTCCTGGCTAATTTTTGTATTTTTTTTTTTTGTAGAGACGGGGTTCTCCCTACACTGCCCAGGTTGGTCTCAACTTCTGAGCTCAAGGGATCTGCCTGCCTCGGCCTCCCAAAGTGCTGGGATTACAGGTGTGAGCCAGCAGCCCTGGTCCTGCCAGGGGATTTTCTTAAATGCAATAGGCTGTTTCCTGTCGCAGGTCCTTTCCAAACACCATACTCAAAAGCTAGTCCTTCCTCTCTTTACTAAATATACCTATTTGTCCTTTTATATTTTCATACAGATAATTTTCAGATTTACTTCTATAACTTCTACTACTAGGTCATTTTGTCTTTTTTTGAAAATACCACCTTATGCAATGCCACTGATTTGATAATGGAAAAAAGAAAAATATATATACATAAATAAAAAAGAAAATACCACCTTAACTGAAATCATTCATCTGCGAAGTGAGGTGGTATGTTCATTTTGCTCACCAGTGTCACCCCAGTGCCTAGCACAATATTCAAGTATTTGCTGAATAAGAAGTCCATCAGCCCGTGGGTACTCAGGCTTGAAGGAAAACATAGAGGTCAGAGCTAGAAGGAAAAAACAGAGTCAGCAGCACTGAGGTGATTTATGATAAAGTTTTCCAGTGAGAACACATAGAATGGGAAGAGGGCAGAGCTGAAGACAAACCCTGAAAAATCAGGACATTTAAGAAGCCGGGGGGTGACACAGTGGCTCACACCTATAATCCCAGCACTTTGGGAGGCCGAGGCAGATGGATCACCTGAGGTCAGGAGTTCAAGACCAGCTTGGCCAACTTGGTGAAACCCAGTCTCTACTAAAAATACAAAAATTACCTGGGTATGGTGGTGCACGCCTGTAGTCCCAGCTACTCAGGAAGCTGAGGCAGGAGAATTGCTTGAACCCAGGAGGTGGAGGTTGCAGTGAGCCGAGATCCAGCCACTGTACTCCACCTTGGTGACAGAGCAAGACCCCATCTCAAAAAAAAAGAAAAAGAGGCCAGGTGCAGTGGCTCACATCTGTAATCCCAGCACTTTTGGGAGGATGAGGCAGGCAGATCATGAGGTCAGGAGTTCGAGACCAGCCTGGCCAACATGTTGAAATCCCATCTTTACTAAAAAATATATATATAAATTAGCCAGGCATGGTGGCAGGAGCCTGTAATCCCAGCTACTCGGGAGGCTGAGGCAGGAGAGTCACCTGAACCTGGGAGGTGGAGGTTGTGGTGAGCTGAGATTGTGCCATTACACTCCATCCTGGGCAACAAGAACAAGATTCCGTCTCAAAAAGAAAGAAAGAAAAAGAAGCCAAGAAAAGAAAGCCTCCAAAGATGGGGAAAACCACCAGAAAGAAGAGAGAAAGGAGGTGGAGACAGGCACAGGCCTGTAATCCCAGCACTTTGGGAGGCCAGAAGTTTGAGTTCAAGAAAGGAGGCAGGAGGGACCAAGATGGGGAAGGAAGAGTGGTGGTCAATTTTTAGATTTTTCATTAAGGTGGAAGAGATATCAGGAAGCTGATAGACTGAGGGTATACCATTTCCTAAAAGGAAGGACCAGGGACAAGAGGAGAGGCTCAACATGAAGTATCCAAAGTGCCCTGGCCTGGCCTGGCCCTGATGCTTCTCTGAAGCAGCAATCTCCAGAGAAGTCAGAAGGCAGAAGGCAGACACTGCCAAAACTCAGACTTCCCTCTCCCCCACCACCTGGCCTCCTGCACGCTGGTTCAAAGACCAAAGGCATTTCTCTCAGTCCCAACTGACTGCAAGAGTGGGAGGAGGGGAAAGAGTTCACTTTCCCAGACTCTACTTGAACCTAAAAGGAGTCAGCCTAGCTGGCTGATACATGCTGCCTTGGCTTACAGAGCCTCAGGCTCACACACACTGGAGACAGCCTGACTGAGCAAAATGCTATGCCTCCCCCTCAACACACACAGACACACAGGGCCAGACCTTCTCTTGACAGCTCCATTCCCCTTAACTCAACACTGCAAAGTCCTCTGCTTCTCAGAATGGAGGCAGTATCAGCAAGGGGTAATGTAATCATTTGCTGATTATGCAAGAGTCTTTGCCTTCTTAACTGAAGTCAAAAAAGAAACTGTAGAGTCCCCGTCTTAAATAAAACATAAAAAAAAAAATCTGAATGATCTGTCTGGGACATTTCCCCCACACACCCACTGACCCCCAATGGGCACTGTTCCCTGACCCCTGCAGGGCAAACCCATGTCCTTCTGTGATATATGCTCCCACAGGATCCTCTCCTTTGCAGCAAGCTGGGCTTTTGTGATTGTCACCTTCTTGTCATTGACTGTTATTTGTGTAAAGCCTGCCTCCCCTGGCAGACTATAAGACTCCCAAGCATCTGTGATGTTTACTGCTACATCTTTCACATGCCCTCTAAAAATATTTACTGCTTACTTGAAATGCATTCCAGCTTCTTCTTGGGTCTCTTAGCATCAAGGATGTCACCTCTTTTAAGTCAAACTCAGAACCTGCCTAGGTTACAGAATTAAGCGCAGCCTGGCCAACATGGTGAAACCCAGTCTCTACTAAAAATACAAAATTTAGTATTTTTACTAAATTTCTTTCATGAAGCTGCAAATGTCTACCTTGCCTATACTGAGTCATACTGGTCTCTAATCTAAATTTTCTTCCACAGTTATTGTCCCTCCTCCCACACAAGCCACATCTAGTCTTCCCTAAAAAGGCCATCATCATGTCCAGGGTAGCCCCACTTCTGAAGGATTATGGTTCCACTACTAGGAACAAGGTAGGAATAAAAAAATCAGACCAGTGACTGAGTGATATCTCCCTCTTAGGATTAGAGAATTCACAGCTGGAAGACATTAGTGATCCAAGATCTCAGTTTTCAGAAGAGGAAACTGAAGCTGAGAAAGGTGCACATGGATTGGGCATTTTTGGTACACTTGGTCCTGCACTAAGCACTTGCAGCAGTTATAAAGATGAACAGTCAACAGATCCAGTCCACGAAGACAGGACAACAGCTAAGGCCTTACTTCCCCCAAGGTTCTCTGTCCACTATAGCCTACTTGCCATCTCCTTAAAAAAGACGGAAAGAAAGAGTGAGAGGGAAACAAAGGTAAAAAAAGAAATAGACTACTACCTCCTCTGACATCATGCTCATCCTTCCCAGAGACAGCAGATTTCTCTGGCAAATGGTATCAGAGATCAGAAAACAAGCTTCCAAATTTCTTCTGAGGTATCCTCTCACAAGCAGAAGTGCACAAGCTTCCTGTTTGTAGTCCCAGGTAGGGAGAAAAGTGAAACATCATCGCTGGTACTCACATCAGAGGAAGACGAAGGCAGCCAAAGACCTCAGAAGGTCAGACACAAAGACCACTGGGACAGGCAAGGATTAGAATCAAGGCTGCCTAGAGCATGCTGGAAAATGAGAGTAATAATTACAGGAGCAGGCCCAGGTATAGGCTTATGGATACTCGTCTGATTCCAAGGCTGCTGGGCTGTTAGACACCAGATGACTTAGAAAGAGGAAACTGTCTTGCCTTTTGCACAAAAGGGCCAATGGTCTAGAGATGAGTAGATGATAGGGCTTTGTGCTCTGAACTAACCATTCATCACCTCCTTAGTCATGGCTCTGAACCGGGCTTTTCTCTCCAAGGATCTGAAGCAGGTATGCGAGTAGCAGATGTTGGTTTTTGTTTTTGTTTTTTGAGGCAGGGTCTTGCTCTGTCACCCAGGCTGTGGTACAGTGGTGTGATAATATCTCCTGGGCTCAAGCAATCCTCCAGCCTCAAACCTCCGAGCAGCTCGGACTACAAGTGTGGCACAGAACCTGGCTAATTTTAAAAAAAGGTATTTTTGTAGAGACAGGGTCCCACTGTGTTGCCCGGACTGGTCTCCAGCTCCTGGGCTCAAGCCATCCTCCCCCTCAGCCTCCCAAAATGCTGGGATTATAGGCATGAGCCACTGTGCCTGGCCGCAATTACCAATCTTTAGGGGTTGTGAAAATGAAATGAAATTTGGTATGAAACGCATTTCACTAGGAAGGATGTAATTTCCATAAGGGCTGATTTTGTCCACGGCTGTGTCTCGAGCGTCTAGAAAAGAGCCTAGGACGTCTGTGCAAACTCTTCTTATAGTCCTCGTCATGGCGTCAGGAAAAGGGGTGGGATGTAGCACTTCCTAACGCACTTAGCACTTCCTAATGCACCCCAGTACCCCTCTTGCTCTTCCTTGGCTGAAAATGCAGGCGCATTTTTGCCCCTTCCAGGACTACAGATGGTGCTCGGACCAGTCTAACGCAACTTAGCAAAACCGGCCAGAGTCTGGGCGCAGTGGCTCACTTGGGACACCTGTAGTCCCAGTACTTTGGGAGGCCTAGGCGGGCGGAGTTTGAGACCAGCCTGAGCGACATGGAGAAACCCCGTCTCTACAAAAACTAAATACAAAAAATTAGCTGGGCGTGGTGGTGCCCACCTGCAATCCTAGTTACTCAAGAGTCTGAGGCGGGAGAATCCCTGAGGCCCGCGAGGCGAAGACTGCAGTGAGCCGAGATCATGTCACCGCACTCCAGCCCCGGCGACGGAGCGACACCCTATCTCAAACACAAAAACAAAAACCGAGCCGATCCCCAAAACGCCTTTCACCTGTGCTTTCAGCTCACCTCAGGGCTCAGGGCCAACCCCCAGGTTGCTGCTTGCCCTCCGACAGACAGCCTCCCCGCATCGGTACTGCCCCATCCCGGACAGCTCGTAAAGCCCCAGCCTCTCGGCCTGGCAGTCTCAGGCAATGGGAGTCAGAGCTGAGGGGCCCATCTGCAGCTCCAGGGCACTCCTCGCGCCACGTGGCTTCCGCAGGTGGAAGTCCAGCCCGCGCTGCGGCCCGGCCTGGGCAGTCAGGACAGAAATCTCAGCTCCCTCCCGAGCTGCAGCGATTAGAAGTAGACGAAGCGAGCGGCCTCATCCCAAAGCCCCTTACCTGGTCCCGGGACAAATGCCACCAGATAAAGCCCGCCTGGGAGACCTGGCGGGGCGAGAGGAGGACTGGGCGGGGGAACCGCCCCCACGCCCGACCCACGCCCCTCCTTCTCCACCAATCCCAGGTCCGCCAGCCGCATGGGCAAGCCTTCTCCACTCAGGGTCCCGGCGAGCCGGCGGCCGCCTCTGCAGCTGCCGTAGCCCGCCCGCGCAGTGGGCGGGCGCCTTGACGCGCTTGCGCACTCTGGGGAAAGCGGAGCTGCACTCCGCCCCGTACCGCTGCTCGGCTTCTCCACGGTGCGTGCTAGGGACGTTGGGGGCGGCGCCGCAGCAGTTGCCCCTGGTAACGGGGGAGGCAGCAGGAGGAGGAGGAGGAGGAGGAGGAGGGACTCAGCGGGAGGATGGTGAGTGTGGGGGCCCGGGCCCCCTTGGAACCGGCCGGGTTACCCGCCTCCAGTCCCCAGGCCCAGGGCGGAGCACTGCGCTGAAAGCCAACGAGGGAATGGGACGGCGATCAGCCTGCTGTGTGGGTTCTGGACTGGTTTTCAGGGTCGGCGGGGAGCCCTAAGGGTGGGCCCTGGAGGGAGGCCTGGGCCTGGAGAGGAAGGCGGGGCTTGCAGCGGGTCCGAGGCTTGGGGAAGGGGCTGGCAGAGTGCGCGGATGGCCGGATGCGGAGCCCGTACTCCATTATTACTTCGCGGGCAGGGGTGAGGGCGGACCGGAGGAGCTGCATAGAGCAGCTTTTGCTTGCAAGCTTAGACTTCCCGGGCCATCGGTCTCCCACCGCTGCAGTAAAGTGGGGTTCTTCTGGAGCCTGGCCAGAAGCGGAGAGAAGGCCGGCCCCGCTGTGTCTGAGGTCGCCCTGGCGGTAGCAGGGGAGATGGTAGTCTAGCTCTCCTCCTTCTCGCGTTCTGCGGGCCCCTGGAGGGCAGGGGAGTAAGTCCCAGGACACCAAGAGGTGCCACTTGGAAGGGATGCCTGGTGGATGTTAGGCCGTCTTGGTGTCTGCGTGGCGGGTGCGCTTCCTCAGTCCCAAATTGGTTAGTTATTTGCTGAGAGTTTTGCAAGACCTGGTTGGTGATGACTGATTTTTCATTCAATACTTAATCCACGTTGATGGAGGCAAATTAGCTGCCCGGTCCCTAGAATTTCCTTCGAGACCTTTTGCAATCTCCTTTTGCATGTGACCACACCAGGACCAAAAATTCTTAATCCTATCTTGGGGTCTCCAAACTGAAAAGAACGAGAAGTTAAAAATGGAGATTGAACTTCAATCTGGGGCAAGCCTTTTCTCTGTCAGCCCTAATTAAAGCTTTCCCAAATTCTAAATTATGGTTGTGACAGATCTGACCGTTAACACTCTGTTTCTTGTTGATTTCTGTACAGTTAGTTGGAAGGAGTTAAAATGGAATTGAGTAATTTTAGAGCTATCAAAGAAAAATTGATTTTGAAGCACTTAGAGCATTTTAGTTGGCTTCAAAGAGCCTGTAATCAAACTTATATTTACTGTTCCACCTTACTTCCTAGTTCCTTTTTTGACTTTTAGAAATGTTGAGCCACTTCTGTTGATTTAAGAAGAAGAAGAAAAAAAAGCTAAAGCTAGATGCCCAGGAAGAAAAAATAATACATGTATGTTTGGTCAGATTATCCAGTGAGTAGATTTAGATAGGAAAAAAAATCTCGATTTTATATCGCCAGATAGTTAAAGAAGTAGGGTTATTTGTTCTAAAGTTGCCAATCACATTTCACACTTGCTACACTTGCAGGTTTTTTTTTAACCTCAGGCTAAACCGATTTTTACAACTGTTTCTTTTTCTTAATCGTTTGTACAGGAGCTGTCCATTTAAAGGCTAAGTTTTTCTCAACAAATGAGTGCAAACATAAATATTTACCCAGAAAATAGCTAGAATTGAAATGAAAAGGGCATGCCAAACCAACAGAGAATGAGATTCGTCATTATGGATGAGAAACGCATGAGAGTTGGCTAACTTTTCCCAGTTTGTTTATCAATTAAGTGGACTGTGTAATTCCATGATTGTTTAATGTATAATTACAGGCCACAGTAAATTAACCACTGCTCGTTTCCAGGTGCAAATTGGCACTGTATACAACAAATTGACAGTGTATACACCACACTGTTGTATACAACTGTTGTGTTCAATGATGAAAACATTTTGTTTTTCTTTTTTCCTTTTCCTAGAATGAACAGTAAGAAATTAGGACAAATTAGTCTGGATTCTTTATCTGCTTTCCCAAATGCATTTTTTTTTTTCTATCTCCAAAAGTGTCAGCTATTCTTAAAACTGGAAGTAGAACACTGAATTTAGTCAGTGGTGTGACTTAAGTGTATCCTATCTGGTATCCCATGAGCTTTAACTGTACAACTGAAGAGTGAACCCCGATTTTTTTTTTTGGTTTTCGTTTTAAACTTCAGCTGTGACTAACACACAATTTTTTTCAAATTTGGGTAACTGTGGCAAAAACCCAAATATGGGTTTCCCTGAACATTTAGAGTCAACTGTTTTACCCCTGCTTTACAATGCTGGGTTCTTGACGAATTACTAAAATGACAGTAATTTTAGCACATAACTAACCACTGTTATTTAACATCTGACTCCTTCATTCAGTAATTATTTATGGCATACTTTCTACATACATGGAGCTTGTGATTGTTCTCGTGCATGTTCAATATTTGAAGATTTTTTTCCAACAGTATTTATATTTTCTGGCTAGAAAATGGCAGTGAAAAATTATTTTAAAAAATAAAACACAGGGCTATTGTTTTGAGTGGCTACTTTGCGTCATGCTTTACATACATGACCTCATTTCATCCTCATAACATCATTTCTTGAGAAAGAAGATAAAGTTTGGATGAAGTTCTCCATTTTGAGCTTTAAACTAATAGGAGTTCAGTTAAAAGAGGTAAAAATAAATGGAAATCAGTTATATTTAAGCTAGTTATAGGGACTGTATGTATGAGGTGGTTGGCTTTGAAATTTCAGTATTTAAATTTTAGCTGCTCCTTACAACCACGTATATTTTCCATATACCAACACATTTCTCCCTCCTCCACCACTCTGGTTTCTTTGAATGACCTAGTTTGTATTGTTTTAGGTCAGTGCACCATGCCTCTGCCAATAGTTGAGTTTAAGCTGATTTCAAGACAGATAAAACGTCTGTAGTCCATAGTACATCTAATTATGATCTGACTGTAGAAAAGTTTGCTTAAATGTTTTGTGGTTGAGTCAGACCACTTCTGCCCACCAGGGTGCAGATAACTTGTATACATACATGCTGGTAACACACAATGTACTTGTAACTGAAGTTCGTGTTTCTTAAATTGCTTTAATGTCACAGGAATGTAAATCCTACAGAGATCACGTCTGTTTTGCTCACTCTTGTACCTAAGGCACATTATTGGTGTTTAATGATAATTGAGTGAATGGATACTTTGGCCAAAAATGCACTTTAAAAATTAATTTTATTGTATTTATACTGCAACACTCAGCCCCATAATAAATTTAACTTCTAATATCTGTCTTTCTTCATTTGACAGCTGAAATAAAATATGGGCATATATGCATAGATGCATGGAATAGACGTATTCTGGTCTCTTTCTTCCAGCCTCTTAAATCAGCTTACTTTGTACCTTTCAGGCAGAACCCTGATCTCTATAAATATCCTCTTCCCTATTTAGCAAACCCTGATAATCCTGTGATCTCCTGTCCTCAGTAGTTGGATTAATATGATGCTGTATTATATTTGTACTTGTCTTCCCTAGACCATGCTTGAAATGCCATTTATCCTTTTGCTGGAAGAAAATATTAGCTGAACTTTCCATTTTTGCATAATTTCACTTAAAGGTGAAGCATCTGAAGTTATTATTTCCTAATAAGGAAATTTACTCATTAGAAATGTAGAAGCACTGTATTCTACACGATTAGGTTAGTAAAGTTTATCTATAGTTAGAATTTTTTTTTTTGAGACAGAGTCTAGCGATCTCGGCTGACTGCAACCTTCCTCTCCCAGGTTCAAGCTATTCTCCTGCCTCAGCCTCCCAAGTAGCTGGGAATACAGGTACCCGACATCATGCCCAGCCAATTTTTTTTATTTTTTAGTAGAAAGGTTTCACCATGTTGGCCAGGCAGGTCTCAAACTCCTGGCCTCAAGTGATCCACCCACCTCGACCTCCCAAAGTGCTGGGATTACAGGCACGAGCCACTGTGCTCAGCCTTATAGTTAGAATGATTTCTTTGTCTTTCTCATCTGTGCTTTGTTCCTCTCCTTTTAAGATGAATAAACATTATGTTTCTCCCCTCCCCCACCTTTTTTTTGAGACAGGATCTTGCTCTCTCATCCAGCCCAGAATGCAGTGACCTGACCATAGCTTACTACAACCTCAAACTCTTAGGCTCAAGCCATCCTTCTGTCTCAGCCTCCTGAGTAGCTGGAAACGCAAGTGCACACCACCACACCTGGATCATTTTTTCTTTTTGGTAGGGATATGTGTCTCACTTTGTTGCCCAGGCTGGTCTTGAATTCCTGGCCTCAAGCTACCCTCCTGCCTCGGCCTCCCAAAGCACTGGTATTACAGGTGTGAATCACTGTGTTCGGTCTTGTTTTTCTCTTAATTGTTTAATTTCAAATGTAAAGAGTATGTAGA